AGTTTAGGTCCCAGGGGGATGACACGGGACTGTGCACAGAACTTAGTCAGGGAAGAGAAGGGCACGAAAAGGGCCAACCGAGACACCCTAGGCCCTCACTCGACTGTACGTCAATATGCAACCCCTGCTGCGGCTGTCACTTGAGGATTTAGAGGAAATGATCTGTGCACTTAAATGTCTCAAACAGCTACAGAGACTGCGGGTGCTCCTGGGCTGTGGGGCCAAGGCAGGGAGACCTTTTTGTAGGGACTGCAGGAAATGGAAGAGGAGAGTGGGGGCCGACCTCACAGCGAGGAGACAATTTTCTCTTTTTATTATTCACACCTGTCCTTAAGGACCAGGCTTTTATATTCTCAGTAGAGTATCACTTGATTCTAACATTTTCTCTTAACGTTAAGGTTATAATTCAGTGTTATGAAAGTGCATTAGAATCACCTTGGATTCTTGTTAAAATGCACATTCCTGTCTCCCTCCCCCATTATTGTTTGGGGAGAGGAGAGTCACTGTCGTTTGGAGGGCCAAACAGAGGGAATTTGGGTTCCAACTTCCATTTTGTTCCTGTGATTATTTTAAGATCAGCAATATTAGCTGCTAGTTTGGCTAATTTGATCCTCTACCAGATTTGCCCTAAAGAGATGATCAATTTTCACCTTAATTTTTTGAAAAGGAAAAAATTGGACTCATTCATATAATTATATTGTGGTAATGATTAAGAAGGGATTCTGGAATGTTTTCAGGGCTGACAACAATTATCTTGGAATAATGTGATGATATCAGATTACCACATTGCGGTGTTTCTGTGGTAATCCAGCTTTAAACAATGGTGGTGTGATATTGCCTTGGATAATGAAGCAACAACCTTAACCTAGAAACACAAAGAAAATACCCTCAAGCAATCTGATAATGGGATATATTTGAGTAATGAAAGAAATAAGGGGAAAGTACCTTATGAATAGACCATTCAAGTTATGGTTTACATAATAGAGGAGAAGGAAGGAGTTGAAATTGTTTAAGACATCGTTGTATAAAAGACAAAAATATTAATGAGGAAAGTTTTCACTGGTAGTGGTTCTTAGCTATGTTTCCAGACACGTGGGCTCCAAAAGAAAGGTCATGACAGATGCTTGTTTTTCTGGGTGTGAGATATATGTAAGCATATACCTTCATAGTGCTGTTACTTATTTCTGTTTCTTTTACTGGCTTGTAACTCTTAGTGCTCATTTTGTATAGAGTGAACTACACTATTTGCATTTTCTGAAATTTCATGATTTAGAATAGGCCAAGTTATCATCCTTGCCCAACTGGTTTCAACTTCTTAGGGACTTGGGTTCTGCTAAAGGATTAGGTCCCATATAATAGCTTTAATTTATTAGCCTATTAGGCATAGGTCCTGCATAGATACTTTGTGCATATTGCTTGATCATCATGACAATCCAGTAAAGTTGATGTTATTGTATCATTTTCCAGATGAGGATACTGAGACCTAAAGAGGTTAAGTGATTTCCCAGTCATAACAGCTAGTTAATGGTGAAACTAATTAAAATAAGGTTGGTGATTAAAAGGGACCATTCTTCTAGTTTCAGAGACTAAAAACCTTCAGGCTCTATCATCCACCTAGACAAGATGAACTGTATGTGATATTTTTGTTTATGTAAAGATGATACAGCTGACAACCAGTCCTATCTTTGTGTACACTGAAGTAGCTAAGAACAGCATAGGACAGTCACAGGGAGAGCATATTTGAACAAGAAGCAAAAAGGCAGAGGATGAGCAGCATTTACCAACAATCTCTGTTAGCACATCACAATGAACCTTAACCTTCATCCTATATTGTCTACCTTGTAGGCACTTGGAAGGAACCAACTTACAAAATGTAAAGGAACAAAGTAAACCTCAGTATTGTAAAATGTTCCTGGCATACAAAAAAAAAAAAAAAAAAAAAAGTTGACATTGTGAATTTTAGTGTACCTTGTTGCATAAAGGCAATTACTGTTAAAACACATTCTCCACTACCTTCTATCCAGGGTCAAGAGCAGATTCCTAAATGGGGTTCTCCTAAATTGTGATACTGCCTTTTAATCTCATTACTATTTGAAGATTTCATCTAACTTTGACAGTCTAGACTCTCTCTTATTTTTATTTTTTAATTTTTTAAAAAGGTTTTATTTTATTTGTTTTTAGAGAGAGAGCAAGGGAGGGAAAAAGAGAGGGAGAAAAATATCAATTGGTTGCCTCTCACACGCCCCCAACTGGGGACCTGACCCATAACCCGGGAAAATACCCTGACAGGGAATTGAACTTGTGACCTTTCAGGTCACAAGCCAGCACTCAATTTGCTGAGCCACATCAGCCAGGGCTAGAATCTTCCTTATTTGTAATACTTCTATGAAACCTATAGCCCTTGATTACTATATTATACTACATAATACATAAACTTGACCTGTCCCAACCCAAATGCAAGGCCCTGGTTATGTACTGAATGTAAGCTTAGCCAGCTACAAGCTCCTTCAGGGAAGATACTACACACAGAGTCCACATCTTTCTATTAATTGAGTCTTTGCTTTTTAAAACTTAAAAAAAATCACAGAATAAACATGCATTCCTTGTAAAAAAGTAAAATCATAGAAAACATAGAAAGAACAAGCAGAAATACCTTCTTTCCCCTTCTTCTATCCATAGTTCCAAGAACTAACCACTCAGTAGAATTTCTATGTAGCCTTTCAGAGTTTTGATAGATACATTCAAAATGTAGAAACTTTAAAAAATTTGTATAGTGCTATAAAACTGACCTGAAACCTTTTTTTAACTCAACAATTATCAACAGAGATGTCTATGACAATATATCTATAGATCTACTTTCTCATGTCTAAATCAACCTCATATTATTTTATTGTATGGATAGTCCACAATTTATTTAATCAGTTTCTCTTGACATTTATATTGTGCCCAATATTACGCTGTCACGATCGCTAGTTTAATGAGCAGTCCGGCACTAGTTCCTTTGCTATTTTAATTACACATGAAGATGAGCTTCCAAGGGGGGGGTCTGGAAGGTCCACTGTGACCCCACAGTGCCTTGGTGAATACTCCTTATTTGAGTGGGCCCCCTTAACCCTGGGGACAGCCCATAGCCTTATGCAGTTTGTCACACAGGACCAGGCGGTTGAGTGTGGCTCCAGATGCCCATCCCCCGCCCAGCCATCCCTTTCACATCCTTGAGGCCTCTTCTTTCCCACCTTTGGTCTCAGTCCTGTCCTCATTACCAAACTACTCAGAAGCAGGAGATGCTGAAGAAGTTCCAGCCAGTGTTCATGGCTTAGCGTCCAGCCCGCTGGGCTTTGTTTAATCTAGTGCCCAGCCAGTCAGTCATGTCACTTCAGGAAGTATTTAGACTCATGAGAGAACAAGCTCTGAGTGAATGCGAGGGAGGAATCGTAAATAACGCTTTTCATTGAGGAGAAGGAACATGGAAGGCTCAGAACGCAGAGTACTTTTAGGAGAGATTAACTATAAGGGGGCTAAATGACACCCTAAATCATACACCTAGGAGAACTGCCAACAAGGTGAGAAGGCCAAATGCCCAAGCTGTTCCAAGTAAGGCTGGGGAGTGGGATAGACCAAGGGCTTGGCAGTGACACTGACTCACAGTTTGAGAAGCTACCAATAGATCTCTGAGAAGAAAAGCAGATGAATTGCTTTGCTAACTTCTAATTCTTCCTTTTAAAGCTGGAGCTCATTTAACTCTATATCCACCTTTATCCTTCTCTCCATGTGAAGGTGTGGCTTTATTATAAAACCCTATCAAATTTTTTTCCTAAAAGACTTTATTTATTTTTAGAGAGAGGGGAAGATAGGGAGAAAGAGAGGGAGAGAAACATTGATGTGAGAGAGAAACATCGATTGGTCGCTTCTCCTATGAGCCCCAACCAGGGATACCACCTGTAACCGAGGCACACACCCTGACCAGGAATCAAACTGGTGACTTTTTGTTTTATGGGACAACGCCCAACCAACTGAACCACACAGGTCAGGTTCTCAATCAAATTTTTTAAAAAATTCATAGGTACCTTGGGATACTGGCAAGTTGCTACACTGGAAAAACCAGAGAAGGTGGACGAGATTGAGGAAGGAGAAGCTGTATCCCTCAGTGACACAGGACAATTACTCAATGTTAAGCCGCTATTGGTTCTGCTAGAAGGGAAGCCCAGCTGGGGCTGTGCTGTCCCCTGCAGGTAGTCACTGGCCTGACGGGCAGCCTCGCAGTCGTTTCCTGGATGTCAAGCAGGGCAGAGGGAACGTCTCTGAGTCCAAGGGATGGGAAGGAATTTTATACAGCTTTAATTGGTCTCTTGCTCTCAAAAAAAGCACAGTTCAAGTTTTCCTTCTCAGGAAAGGAAATAGCGATAATTTATAAAAAGAGAAAGGAAAAGTTGGTATTAGTGAAATGTCGATAGGCAGTTTAGTCTTAGTGGAAACAGCTAACGAGCCAGGCTCCAGGGGATGCGGGCAGGCAGAGTGCTGCCTGCTCCGCCCAGCCTCTCCGGCCCCCTGTGGCCCGAGCCCTGTCCGGTGCTGGGGAGGGCAGCCTTGCCTGTTCAGAGTGCAAGAGCAGGGCCCTGGGCCCCGCAGAGCAGGCTGTGTTTCTCTGTTTGCACATTTATGTGGACTCAATCTTTACTCTAGGGAAGAAGCAGCATCTTGAGTTCGTGCAGAAGCAGCCCTGAGTCGGCAGGTGGCCTCTCATGGCCCTGCTGTGGCTCTGCCTGGTGAACTTGCATGCCCCTGGGAAGGAGCCGGAACGGCTTATACACAGATAACGCGAGGGCATTAGGTTTGCTGGTCTCCAAGACCCATGAAATCAGATTAGAAAGCTCAGTGAAATGCTTTTTGTAGGCATGAAACAGGCATTTGTTAAACTGAATTACCTAAAAAAAAAAAAAAATAATAACAAACCTATATTTTAGAATTAAAAGAGAGTGTGAAAGGTACTTTGGCATTACCTGTCATGTCTCAGTATAGGTGTAGGCAGCACGTGGGTCAGGAGCCACCCAAACTCGGCCAGCGTGTGCAGCAGGGGGCCGTAATCCGTCTTGATTTCACAGCCCTGCAGGAATAAGCGTAGGAGCTACAGTCCCATGGCAAAGACAACCAGCTGCACGAGTGATTCTGACGAAGGGCTGAGGGTGTTCTGAAGAAGGTTGTTTACACTCCCTGAGGAACAATTTCACAGGGGCAGAGTCTGTCTGGGCTGCGTTTTCTGCGGCCTGCTGCCTTCTAACCCTTGAACCAAGTTAGAAACACTGGGGATCAGAGTGGAGAGAGGTTCCCCTCTGTTCTCCAAAGTTTGGTCTCTCCTCGGGTCTTGTTGCCTTGGTCTTGTTCTGGCAACAAACACTAATGCGGCAGGGGGCGGGTGTGGGGCTGGGAATCTGCATTTTAAATATGCTCCCTAGGTGATTTGGATCCAAGTAGTTTACAGACCACACTTTCAGAAAAACCTGTCTAGCCACTGGGAACTGAGGGCAAGAGTGAAGAGTGCGGTCTGGGGAGTGAAAGGTGAGAGGAGCTCAGAACTGGTATTGATTTTTTTGAGCTTAGAACCGGACTTCATTTTTACTTGGAGCTTTACCTCTTCCTTCAAATCCCGTTTATGCCTCTCAATGGGATTTCCAGTTTCTTTGAAAAATGGGCCTTATCTCTAACCTATGTAAAACGAGAGAGGCAAAAGTGTCCATGGAAGAGCCTGTCAGGGAGGCCTCACACACACACCGCAATGTACCTGACTTCAGTCTGTACACCTCAGGTGCTGACCTCTGAATTCAGAGGGCACATCAGTAGCAATGTCATCTCCGATTAGGAAGGACAATGCTGTGTGTACACATTTGGCCTGGTGAGAGAGAGAATATCTTTTGGATATTTTTGCCTTTGAGAGTTCACAAAGTAAAAAGCCAGTCATATTGGTTGCTTGGAGATAAAATACTAGTTATTGACTGAACTTTTTCACTTTTAACCAGTTGTTATAACATTGTGTAGAGGGAACAGAGCCAGGGGACTTTGTTTAAGATTAGAATGCCAGTCTTTGGGAATATACTGCTACTTATGTATAGATAATTGTTTTGCTATCTTAAAACACTGGGTAATTACAATGTTCACAAATCTGAAAGAAGTTTGTTCATGCATTTGTGAGGAAATTTTGAACATTACACAAATGTGTTAGAAGGAGACTTCCCTGTGTTAGACAGACAGGAAGAACTTTAACATGTAAAACTAAATATAAAATAAAGCTAAACTGTCAGAAAACTGCAGCTCACCTCAATAACAGTCCATTGTTCTACTACGATGGCATCATTTCCTTTTCTACTGGAACCTGGAACTCCAGAACCTTCTTCTTCATAGATAAAGAATCCTTCTAAAGATTTAGGCAAATGGTCTCCTGTGAGGAAAAGGATACAATTAAGAAGAGCTGTAAATACTAAATGTTTCTTAAGATCATCTAAATCCTTAAATAACCTTTTTAGGAAGCAGAAAGAAAAACATACACATTAATAAACACTTGTTATGGCTCAATCAATAACATCTTCCTCCACTTTGAAGGTTTATTTTTTATTTTCTCCAAAGGTCAAGACAGTTTTAGACTTCACTGCATTAAAGCCAAACTGTAAACATGAAAACTACAGTAACAAAAACACGATAAAATAACATCATACAGAGAGAGGTAAGTAGATTTCTTAAACCTCAAAATCGTCTGGAAATAACTTCACCTTGGATTTTGGTTTCTGATCTATATGTTGTAAGCATGTTAATTATACCACTAGGAGAAACATAAAAAATGTTAATCCTTGAAATTTACAGGTGTGATATTAAAACTAATGTGAGGTAAGATTACTTCAAGAAGTATAAACACAGAACAATTCTTCACTTCAATGATTCTTAAAAAAAAGAATGGGAACAGGAAGATTCTAAACAGAAGTCATTGTCAAAAGAATTCCTGCTGGGAAGGAAGTTTTAAGGGAGGGCCTCTTTGACATTTTCTTGAATAGCTGACAACAACCATCTGGCCAAAACTGAACTGACTCTATGGAAGTTCTTTTGTCTCCAATTTTGCAAGAAGAGACAATTTTCCCATGGTCACATGTGGTTAAACATTTTTGCTTTAACATGGCAAAATGTCACATCACAGTTTTCCTGGTTGACAGTTTTCCAAATAACGAAGGCCTACAAACTTTTCAAGTGACCTACTAACCTTACATATATAAAAGACAGAAATAATTTTAATACAATTCTTAGTTTTAATTCTTATTTACAAGCCATAAACCTTAAGAGGAAATCATTATATTATTACTTTTACATCACCTACAGTTCAAGTTCAGGTGGAATATCATGAAGAGTTTATATTGTTCAGAGTGGTTTCTAAGAACCAGTAAAGTTTAATTTACTAGTTGGAATTGGCCTTCTAATTACAGCACATGCTCCATTTCCTTTAAATGTGCTTGACCGCTGTCTCACCAGAGTGACCAGAGGAATCAAATCTGTGTCTGATTGTAAGTTCAGGTTATCACTGTATCATCTTTAAAAATAGATATGTATATCCTAAGTCCTTTTTTAGAATGGCAGTGTGTGAATGTTAAAAATAATTATATACTTCAATAACAATATAGTTATTTATGGTCTATTTACTTTGTGATTATACAATATAATGTGAGAATCATAGGCTTTATGGCTCTGCATCTGTTTTCTTGTTCTCGGTATTGGGGTTCCCTGGTACTTCTAGACTTCTTCTAGTTTAAAAGAAAGTATGGTAGACGTATACAATGCAATAATGAGAATAAAAAAGAAAAACTCACTGCTATGCAGCAACATAGATGCATTTCAGAGATACTACGTTAAGTAAAAGAAGCCATATATAAAAGATTACATACTTTATACTTCAACCTACATAAAGTTCAAGAACAGGCAATATTGATCTATGTTGATGGAGGTCTGAATAATGCTTCTCTCTGGGAGGAAGGATATTGACTGGGAAGGGTCATGAAGAGGTCTTACTGGGATGTTGGGAATGTTCTCTACCTTTTTTGTTTTTGTTTTTGCATTTCTTTTCTTCCCCAGGTTTATTGAGATATAATACACATGATTTTTTCAGCTTTATTGATGTATAGGGAATGTTCTGTACCTTGAACAGCTGTACCCATAAGATTAATGCACTGTTTATATGTATGTTATACTTAATAACCATCCTCCTCACGTTAGGGCTCCCCAGGACCCCTGGCTGGGCTTGCTTAGGGCTCTTGCCTGTCCCCAGAGCCAGAGCCATAGCAGACTGACATTTCACAGGAGAGAGTACTTCTGTTTTTTGAGAAATTCTCCCTAACAGAAGTGCAGCTAGGGGGTGCGGCCAGGAATGTCTCATGGAGAGTGACTCTTTGGGTGTTTGGTGTGTTAAATCTTCCAGGTAATGGGGTGAGGTGATAATTATGAACAATTACTTAATCACTGTCCCCCAGTGGTGCCATCTTTAAAGTTACCTATCCCAGAGCTTGCCGCCCAACGTGCCTTGGCCCATTCGTGTGCTGAGAAACAGACACACGTGTGACAAGACCCAGGGTGTCCTCTCCTGTCCAGAGCAGCTTCATCCACGTACACCATGTGCCCTACCAGATTGCCATTTTCTAAGCGTGAATAACGTGAAAAAGTTACAAAGCATTGACCTACTGCTTCTCCAAAAAAAAAAAATTTTTTTTTAAAGCCAAATAACACCAATAGCAAAGGAAAGAACACTTGTATCAGGGAAGGATGGTCTCTAGGTTCAGTTTGAAGTGATTCATGGCAAGCAGAAAGTTTCTTTAAATTCTAATGCTGTATCTTAAAAATCCATGCAAACTTCGCATTCTTTTCAAATATATTCACATTATATAAAGAAGTAATGATCTCCACTGCCCTCCTAAAGTAATATTGACACTCTAAGAGGAGGTTTACCCTGTGACCTTGTGTACTCCCTGGCACAAGCCTGCATACCCTGAGGGTACTTGGGCTCTGGTATGAGAAGCACAAGCTTAAAGGATACCCAGGGAATAGTTTACTTGTCTGGGCATGTGATCACACACACACACACACACACACACACACACACACTTTGGCTAGATATGACATTGGCACTCCTGTAAATATGACAAAGGGAATATTCTGTTTTAGTATTTTTGATCCATGTGTCATTTTTGGCATTAAACTGCTCAGAGCGGGGCCCAGGACCATCTCTGAGAAGTGGAGGGCAAGCACACACGGAAACTCTCCCTCTGAATTTCGTCCATGACCATCTTTCTCCAAAACAAATGCCAACCTGCTTCTCTCTGTCGCCATCACCTTCTCTGCAGAGACCATTGCAACAGTCTGGTAACAGCCTCCCCACTTCCACTCTTGTCTCCGGGGCTCTGTCTCCCACAATGAGGCCAGTGAGGTTCTTTTAAAAATGCAGATCAGATCCTAACTGCTTCTTCACACTTTTAATGAATGACCTGGCATAAAAGCCCTGGCGGGACAGCAAATGGCCTAAGAGCACACACTTTCCTAGGTGCCTTCTCTCCTTTCTGGTTGTGTGAACAGGGGCACATTATTTAATAGTTTCGTGCCTCATTTTCCTCATCTGTAAAGGGGGAATAATCATAGCTACCTCACAGCATTGCTGTGGGAATTAAGGGAGTTAATAGATGTAAAGTGCTTCTTTACACCTGTATAGGACAATGCTGGCGCATAGTAAGTACAAATGCATGTTAAACCTTGTTGTGTTATTTCTATTATAAGGCTCTGCCTGGAGGGGCTGCTGCCCACCTCTCCCACCTTGTCTGGAGCCATTTTGTCTCCAGGGACAGAGCCCTCTTCCCAGGTCCCCTTTCCTGCCCTAGGGTTTTTGTACATTTTGGGGTGATTCCTCTGCTGAGAACTGTCTACCTCTGGGTCTCCGGGCCGGCTCCTTTCCAGCCTTCCAGTCTCAGTGGGATTGTTACCCCATCAGACGAGACCTCCCGACCACCCCTCTGAATGGGTTCTTCCCTGTTACTCTCGTTACAATATCTTGTTGGGTAATATCACAACACTTTTCTTGATTTTGATATTAAATCTATGTTTTGATATCTGCTATTGTCTAATGCCACACGGCTGGCTCCTTCACAGCAGGGAAGATGTCCATTTTGCTCATGACTGGAAACCCAGGGCCTGGTATATCCATATATATGAAATGAATAAAAACCTGTTTCAATGTCATTACTCTACCCCACTGCTCATTCTGACACAGCTCCCTGCCAGTTCCACACATGAATTTTTATAGGGGCGAAGAGATTGGACTGAATATCAAGTGAAGTATGAAAAGAATTCATAAAGAATTAGACTTCTGGTGAAGGTGGTGGCATAGGTAGATACACTTTGCATACTTGTACAACCAAAAGAAGGACAACAAATTTAAAAACAAAAACCAGAACTGCCCAAAAGTCAAACTGTATGGAAGTGTGACAACCGAGGAGTTAAAGAAGAAACACTCATCCAGACTGGTAGGAGGGGTGGAGCCAGGGAGCCTGGGTGGAGAGGCCTCGGGCAAGGCTGCAGCTGGAGGACCAGGTGGGTGAGGCGGCTGGCGGGCCTGGCGGTCCCACATTTGTGTGCAGATAAACCGGGAGGAACAGCTAGAAAGCAAGACAGACAGTGCAAACGAGGGTTCCAGTGTGGGAAAAGAAAGCCTCAAAAACCTCTGGTGGTAAAAAAATTTGGAGGTTACAGGGGTGGCAGGAGAAACTCCCAGCCTCACAGGAGAATCCGTTGGAGAGACCCACGGGTCCCAGAATGTACACAGACTCACCGACCTGGGAATCAGCACCAGAAGGGCCCAATTTGCTTGTGGGTAGCAGGGGAAGTCACTGAAAGTAGGCCAAAAGCTGAACAAGTGGCATTGTTCCCTCCTGGACCCCTCCCCCACAGACAGCATCACAACACAGATACTGGGTTGCCCCGCCCTGGCAAATACCTAAGGCTCTGCCCCCTCCAATATAACAGGTAGGCCAAGGCAAAGAAACATGGTCCACACGAAAGAACAGATCAAAGCTCCAAAAATGGAACTAAGCGATAAAGACACAGCCAACCTATTACATGCACAGTTCAAAACACTGGTAATCAGAATGCTCACAGAAATGATTGAATACGGGGCAAAATGAAGAAGTGAAAGCTATACAAAGTGAAATAAAGCGAAATACACAGGGAACCAACAGTCAAGGGAAGGAAACTTGGACTCACATCGATTTAGAGCAGAAGGAAGAGATAAACATTCAATCAGAACAGAATGAAGAAAAAAGAATTCAAAAAAATGAGGAAGGCTTAAGAACCTCTGGGAAAACTTTAAACATTCCGACATCTGAATCATAGGGATGCCAGGAGGAGAAGAGGAAGAGCACGAAATTGAAAACTTATTTGAAAAAATAATGAAGGAGAACTTCCCCAATCTGGCAAAGGAAATAGAATTCTAGGAGATCCAGGAAGCTCAGAGAGTCCCAAAGAAGTTGGAAGCACACACCAAGGCACATCATAATTAAATTACCCAAGGTTAAAGATAAGGAGAGAATCTTAAGAGCAGCAAGAGAAAAGTAGACAGCTACCTACAAAGGGGTTCTCATGACTATCAGTCTCAAAAGAAACTTTGCAGGCAAGAAGGGGCTGTAAAGAAGTATTCAAAGTCATGAAAGGCGAGGACCTACATCCAGGATTACTCTATCCAGCACAGCTATCATTTAGAATGGAAGGGAAGATAAAGTGCTTCCCAGATAAGGTCAAATTAAAGGAGTTCATCATCACCAAGCCCTTATTATATGAAATGTTAAAGGGACTTATCTAAGAAAAAGAAGAAGATCAAAAACTATGAACGGTAAAATGACAACAAACTCACAACTATCAACAAATGAACCTAAAAAAACAAAAAGAAGCTAGGCAAACAACTAGAACAGGAACAGAATACAGAAATAGAGAGCAGAGGGGAGGTGGAGGGGGGAGAATGGGGGAAAAGGTACAAGGAAGAAGAAGCATAAACAGTAGGTACAAAATAAACAGGGGGAGGTTAAAAATTGTATAGGAAATAGAGAAGCCAAAGAACTTATATGTACGACCCATGGACATGAACTAAGGTGGGGAGGGAATGCTGGTGGGAGGGGGAGTGCAGAGCAGAGGGAAATAAAGGGAAGAAGAAACAAAAAAAAAATAAAAAAGAATTCATAAAGAATTAAAGCATAGCCTTTAGATATGGGTATATTTGAAAGGTGGGAAGAGGCTGTGCTCTGAGGATGATGGGGCATTTGTAGGCTGGTGAAGTAAGTGTGTGTGTGTGTGTGTGTGTGTGTGTGTGTGTGTGTGTGTGTACCGGTGGGCAAAGCTGCTCCTCTCACCCCGTGTCAGCTGCCCACTGAATATCTCCATGTTCTGGCGGGGTCAGGTGTTAGGTCTCTGTGCCTGCCCCACGTAAGTGTGCCTTGCATCCAGCCGAGGACTGGCTGGGCAGAGGCCCAGAAATGCTGGAGAAGGCCAGGCAGAGGGGGACATGGCAGTGAGAACTCTCAGGCTGCAGAAAGGCCACAGGGCACATTTCCTGTGGGGCTTTTCCAAGCCGAAAAGGATTTGAGGGCGGTTGGGAAAGGGCACTGAAGAGGAATTTCACAGACCTTACAACTTTTCCATCATGACCTTCCCCAAGGAGAAAACGTGTTATGAGTTTTTTTTTTCCCCCTTCTTTCTGTTTCTGGAGGAAAGTGTTTTAGAAAATGAGATTTGTGGAGCACTGTATTTAAATTTCTGAGCAATGTCTGGTTTTGTACTTCTGTTCCCTGTGGTGGGCTGACTTCTGACAATATTTTGGGAGAGGATGGAAGCAAGACAAAACAAAATAGGCATTGTCCCCCGTGTGCTTTAGATGTCAGCCATCAGCTATCCCAGAACAAAGCCACCAATTCAGCCCTGCTTCCTCTTGACTTGCTTCTCACAGTGACACAGACAGTGGTCACAATTTCCCCTCTGCAGCTTCCCTGTGTACTTGCAGGGAAGCCCTGGGTGACACACCCCATCGCCGGACCCGCAGACTGAGGCGGCTGGCTAGGGGCTTGGTGGGGGCTGCAATGGAAAACGGCTCTCTAGAGAGGCATTCCAGAGCTGGGGAGCGGAGATTCTCCCCCTGGGCTCTCTAAATAGCTTCTGAGGCTTTCAGAACAAAAGCCCTACAGAGCCTCTAACTGGCAACTGCTGTGGCTAATTTTATTTTCTGCGGGCAAATGCCTGAAAGAGATTGTGAAAGGAGGATTTTTTGTTTTTCCTTCAGCAGTTAGTCACAAACAAAAGTTGAAATGGCTCCAAGGTAGAGTCTCTGGATGGAAGGAGGAGAGGGAGTTGGGGGAGGCGAGGAAGAGGGGAGGGAAGGAGAGAAATGTGAAGCATGAACCGACCTCCAAAGAGAAGATCCACACTCAAAGTACTGTGACTGCACATAAGGAGTGTCAGGAAAGAAAATCAACCTCGGAAAACGAACTCTGATGGCAGGTGAGGCAGCATGGGAGTCCCTTTGCACACACTGTATCTTATTAGATTCTCACAACAATAAAGTAGGAGTATTTTTAAATTTTAATTTATTTAAGTACAGTTGGTATATAATCATATATGGGCTACATTAGTTTCTGGTGTACAATGTAGTGAACTGACATTTTTATATTCTTACAGTGTGATCACTCCACTAATTCTAGTGACCATCTGTCATCACGTAAACATGTCACAGTATTGCTGACTATATTCCCCTTCACCTTTTTTACCCTTCCCCCCAATCCCCACCCTCTGGTAACCATCCCTTTGGTCTCTGTTTCCATGAGTTAAAGCAGCAGTATTTTTATCCCCTTTTGAGGAAACTGAGGCTCAGTGAGCTCAACTAACTTCTTCAGATCACACAGCTAATAAGTAGAGACCAGAGGATTTAAACCCTGGTCTGTCTGATTTTAAAGCCCATGGTCTTCCTATTAGATCAACTTGGAAGAAGTTTCCAATAAAAATAATACTAAACAATATTTATTGAGCACCTGCTATGTGTCAAGCACTATGCCATTTGCTCTATTTCTGGGTGTTCCAGTGAGCTTGATCCTTACCCTTGGTTGCTAGTTAAAAGTATCTACTGGAATATGACTCTTGATAATTTAAAATATTCATCCAAAGTCTCTGGTTGTATTAGTAAAGTTATCACTAGGTTGATTTAACGATAATAAAGTATACTGAGATCTCATCTCTCTTTTTCACTCTTTTCTCTAACCTCATTAAGTTAGGGTCTTCAATTATTCTGGTTTTCATAATGTCCATCCTTCCATGTTTCCTGTTTCCTTACTATCTATTTTTCTTTTCTTTTAGTTAGCCCTAACCTCTTTTTAAAAACACTTTCCCTAGGAAGCCATTTTTGGAAAGATTTGTTTGTTTTTTTTGCTTTTGTGTGATGGATGATTATAGATTCCATTGTAACTAATAGAGGGAGGCTAGAGACAGATGAGAGAGAGGGGGAAGGCAGAAATAAATACAGAATCAATATCATTTTCTGAACCAAAAGTTATTTTTCTAGCCAGACTATAGTAAGAGTCAGGTAGGTAGTGTCCAAAACTGGGATAGTGTAATACATTTGGATAGTCATTATCAACTGCTATTGTTAGCCTCCCAGTTGGGTTGTTGTAGTGCATCATGTCTGGAAAATCTTACAAGTCGATCACACAGTGGTTTGTCTAGTCCTGACAGTTACAACCCAACAGCAAACATTACATTAGAATTATACCACACAGGATGGTTAAGTTTTAAATTAAAGCCACATAGTTGTTTAAGGATTGGGACAATTTCCTTAGGAATAACTTCTGTCCTTTTAGTCATAGAACTTGAGAGGGGAAAACATTTTCACTAACTCTACCACAAGGTCACATTTTAAAAATATCAATATATCATAATTTAAAACTTACCTTTAGATGTTTCCCAGCATAGAAAAGAATCAATTAAAGACAAGCCTTGCTTATAATAAAATGTAGTTAACTCCAACCAATCAGCATCAAGTGTACTAATGACAGATCCTTTTCTTGTTACTTTCACTGACAGAATGCCCTCCTGATAGGTCCAGCAGCTTGAGTCATCGTCAAAAACATTGAAGGCTATATACAACTTGTTATCTGAGGATAGGCGTTCAGAAGGAAGAAAAAAGAGAAAAGTTATAATTTAATTGAAAAGATTCTTAAAATATTTTTTATTGATATAAGCTATTTCAAGCACATAAACAAATAGAGAGAATAATAAAATTACCACTCAGCTTTTCAAACATTAACATTGTGTCATGTTTGCTTCAGACTTTTTTCAAGGAGTTGAGAAATGAATATAGTTGAGGCTCACTATGTAATCTTCCCTTATCCCATTCTCCAGAAATAGCTACTGTAATGAATTTGGTATTTATCATTCTCATGCAAGCTTTTAGTCTTTTAATATAGATTTATATATCCATAAATGATATAGAATGTTTTGCAATTTTAAAAAACTTCTAAAAATGGTATCATACTATATGTCAATCTATAAATTATTTTCCTTGTTCACTATTATGCTTTTGAAGTATAATCAATATTTTATAGATCTTATTTAGTTTGCATTGTATTTCAGTTTATTATTTTCTATTGATGGACATATGCATAGCTTCCAAATTTTTGTTTGTTACTACAAATATTATTCATATCTCCTTGGACATATGTGTAAGAGTGACTCTAGAATACATGATTAGACCTGAAATTGCTGGGTCTTACCTTCCAATTTACTGAAAGTTAGCAAATTCTTAATTTGGGGGTCCTATAGACCTGTATCTGTGATTGTGCTTTAGAAAGCTAACATCACTTGCCTTACAGACAGAAATATTTGGGTTATGTGTGTGACGTGCGTTTTTCTGGGTTGAGACTCATGAATTTCATCAGATTCTCTAAGGGGTCTTTTGCGTGTTGGCTCTCCCACCCTGGCCCCTCTTAGTGGTTCTAAGAACCACTGCCGCAGAAAAGTTATTAAGAAGCATATGGTATAAAAATAAACTATTTAGAAAGTGGCATCTAAAGACTGATATTTAAATTAAGTAGGTAGTATATTGGTTTTAGAACTTAAAGAACTGGAAATGGACGTCTGGCCTAATCAGTGTCAGGATGGGAAGCAGCAGTTTAAAGCCGGCAGCAGGTGGCAGGTAGTGAACAGCTCTCTGACCGTAGCTTCAACCCCTGTTCACTCTTACATTCCTCAGTTTTCTATGCTGCACAAAAACGAGGGTGGTGGTTAGCTAGGGGACGAAAAGGGGGCGGGTGCTGGTGTCGAAGATGCGTGGGATGATGAGTTGGGGCTTGCTCCCGGTGTTTTTGAGGAGGTTGTGCTGACCAAGGTCCAATGGGTCTTTGTCACGTACAGGAGGTTAAGCACGCCACGGCAGCAACCCAGAAAGCCGGCGTCGCCCGCCCGTCTGGGCGGCTGTAACACTAACTAAAGGTCAGTTAACAGCAGCTAACCTAGCACGGAGTTTCTTCTGTGTCAGGCAGCAGGCTAAGCACTTGGCAGGCGTCGCCTATCTACGTCGCACAACAACCCCCTTCCTCTAAAGAAGCGGAGGTAGTCTTATTCTTAGATTTTCTTACAGTCTTAGATTTTCTGTAACAGGGCTTTTTCACACATGCCTGTTAAGGCATCAGAAAATTTTGACCAGTCCAAAAACATGAGGAGAATACTGTTTCTTCAGAAGACTTGCTAGCTGGCTGAGAACAATGAAACTATTGTTTAAAGATATTTTAGGATACTAGTACTATTGTTACATTAATTGTTTCACCATGAGGTGCCATTTTCATATTCTACTTGATGATCAAAGAGAGCCAGTTAACTTCAAGGGTAAAGACCATCCACGAAATGGGAAAGGCCAACACTTAAATTCTCACACACTGTTCACAGGGACAAAAATAAATCAGAACAGCTTTCTTTACAGAATCCCTTTTTTGATACATATGCACCGCCTCCATTTTACAGGGGAGCCAGGGAATGATTAATGGGAGGCAATTTTCAACACAAGTTCATTACGTGGGTGGCTTTATAAGACCACACCAGACATAACTGTTTGAAAAACAACCCTACTTTATGTTTGGCTATAATGATTTTAAAGAATCAAGACAAGTTTGTATTAGTTTAATTAGTCATCACAACCTTTAAAATTTTACTTTGTCTCATATTTCTCAAAAACATATTTTGCTACATTTAACCTTATCTCTGTTCTATTTCTATTCATCTTGTCTATTACCTTCTCCCTTTTTGGATTTAGAGGAACTGGGGCTGCCATCTCGTTCTGTTTGACCCTGCCCACTTTCATGATGAAACTCTTCCTCAATTCCACTTTCAGATGATTGCCCACTTAATGTTCCTTCATTCCAACTTTTACAGTTTTCATCTGAGGTGTGTCTCACGTGCAGCGTTGATTCTATATCTCCGTCATGGTTGGTTCCATTGCAGAATGGCGGATAATGCTGTGATACGAATCCGACAAATCTCATTCCTCTTTTAGAAGCTACGTTAATCTGAGGTTTAAAAAGAGATGGTAGAACAAAATATAAATTTCATTTGAATTGACTATTTTATCATTTTTTTTAAAAATTAAAAACATTTTTATTTATTTATTTTTAGAGAGAGGAGAAAGGAAGGAGAAAGAGAGAGAGTAGAACATCAATGTGTGGTTGCCTCTTGTGTATCCCCAACTGGGAACCCGGCCTGCAACCCGGGCATGTGCCCTGACTGGGAATAGCGACCCTTTGGTTCACAGGCCAGCACTCAATTCCCTGAGCCATACCAGCCAGGGCCAAAAATAACATCTGGTAACGTGTTGTTTGTTTGATGCAGGTAAAAAAATATGTTAAAAGACAAATTCTTGACAAATGTGTATGCATTGTGCATTAACCCAATTCATACATACTACCTCTCTTAGGAAGCTTTCTGATGTTGCTGCTGTTGCTTATCTGGGCCCAATAACCATGATTAGAGTCAATCTTGTCAGTTAAAGAATAGGATTCAGGAGCACATGGCCTAAGTTCAGTGAAATGATTTCAGACATCAAGAGTGGTTATTTTCACACACAGCACTTTTCCTTTTCTCTGCTTTTGCTTCATTTCTTTGTTATTTTTGTGTCCATGTCTTCCCTCCCCTACCCCCTTGTTATTTTGAGGGCAGGACTGTGTCTTATTCATCTTTGCATTATAATATTTTGTGTCTATAGGTGCCCTACAAATACTTGTTAAATACATTAAAATTAAGGAAGAGCCATGTCTTTATGTGGTCCTTGTTTTAAATGTTACCTGGGAGGGGAAGAATGAGTTATGACAGAAGTTTCATATGTAAACATCTATAGTCAGAAATGAAATGGAATGAAAAAGACCAGGAAGAGGGGGACAAAACCAGAGAGCAATATCCAGTGAGAGGGGGTGACTGTAATCACACTCCCACTGGTGACGAGAAGACTCCTGAGGACAGAGGGCGTGGGTGTGTGCGCGAGGACACGGGACTATGCCGACAAAACAGCATTCATTTACTCCCAGAAGTGAACATACTGACATTGCAAAAACACATGAGGCTGAAGAAATGACCATAAGTTGTGCTTTATATCAAGTGTCCTGGGAGAGGAGAGGGGTGGTAAGGAAGCGTCCTTTACCTGGCGTTCTGCAGGTGGGAGCAAATTTACTGCCAGCGCTTTCCCTAGGTCTTATTAGCTGATGTGGGTGAAACAGGTAGAAGCCTTTTTCTATTACTAGAAAGTTTAATATGGAAAAGTCTGGTAACAAATAGACTACATTAATCAGTCTTTTCCATTTTTTAAGTTGGAAGATTTATATTTTCCAATGTTATTGTTATTTAAAGATCCTGGGAAAAACACTTGTAACCCTAATTTTAAAAATAGAGCAAACGTTGATATAATGCTAAAATGACTTAAAATCTAGCTGTTCAACAATCAACGCTTTATATTAGGCAGTCATTCAAAAATAACACTTGGCATTCATCTATTGCCCTTGTTCATACATGGGGCAATGTTCAAATATTTCATGTGCTATGTTTCCTGAAGCTTTTCTCTTTATGAAATAACCCTATTACTCTAATTGCTGAAATAACAGTACTTTCCTGTTTAAATAGATTTTTAACTGTCTCCAGGAAGTCAAGTGCAAAACAGGAGCTCTGATGGTGATCTAGTAAGACTAAATAAGTAGTTACATTTTTGTTTTCAAAATAAATTTTCTGTAGTGGATTCATTTCCAGAAAAAAATCAAAATTTCCCAGAATAGTAGTAATAAACAGTATGTGTACCTTGTTTATAAAAATCTAGTCTCAAAGACTGTTCCCGAAAAACCTTACTGAAAGGTGACTTTATGCCAAAATGGGAAATATCATTAGCAGTTACAACTGGCTAACAGCGAGCAAGTACCACAGTTTCTTACTTGAAAGGAAATACCTTAGGTTTTTGGTTGTATTCATTTAAATAAAACCTAAAACCTTAGAAATATGTCAATGCAACTGAAAAAGAAAATTTTCACTATAAAATTCTATCAGTTTAGAATACTTATAAATGTAAAATTTTCTCTCAACAGATGTACAATTCTACAACACATCATCTGTACACTGTATTGTGGGTTCACCATCCCAAGTCAAGTCTCTGTCCATCACCATTTAACCGTCCTTATACAAATTTTTATTTTTAAGTTTCAATTAGGTTATATTGTGGGGGCCGATAGTGAATACAGTTGTCATGTTTAATAATAATAAAATATTCTATTGTATCAACATGCCACTGCCTCCTTCTTAGTTTTCCAATTATTGAGAATTTGGCCCCTTATTCACTATTGATTAAAATAGCTTTGCATAGAAATGATTTTTTACCTTCTCAATTAATTTATTGGAATAGATTCCTAAGGAGAAAATTACTGAGTCATGAAATAAAATGGGATTTATAGTTTTTATTACTAAATTTATATTTAGGGACACTGTACTAATTTACAGTGTTCAGTGTCAGTTGCAATATATGAATTTTCCTTAAAGCTCTTCCAACACTGGATTTAATACTTTCAGTTCAATTTCTCAGTTAATACTGGTGAGGTATTAATTCTCAGTTTTTATATTTACATTAAAAATTATCACTTAGTTAAAAAAATAAAAGAATAAAAAATTATCAGTTAGGTTAAACCTTTTGCTAAATGTCTGTTCTTTGTTTTTCCTTTTGTATTCACTGTTCATGGATTCTGCCTGTCCATTCAAGACTGGACATCATTTTGATGCATATGTATTTATTTCATATATATTCTGAAACTAATTCCCACAGGACACTTTTGTTATGGATTTCCCTCTGGATTCTTTTCTTTTAAAGCTTAGTTTTACTAGTATATATTTATATACTAAACCCAAACTTCTCAATCTATTTATGATTGAATACTCATAGTATGCCTACTCTTTCATTTTCTTTCAGATTTTTTTTTACTTAAAAATGATCTCTTTATCTCTTTTGAAATGTATGGCATGTATTTCCTACAAAACCATTGCCCACTTTTCCAGAGGCACTTAGTAAGTAACGGTTGTTCCCCCCTTTTATTTCATCAGGTTTTTATACAACTTCTCTGTGTATAAGTTTATTCCTGGCATTTCCATTTTGTTTCATTGGTCAATATTTTTATTTTTAACTCTGTATAATTGGTATATGTACTTCAATATTTTGAACTCTGGTAGAATGCCACCTATTATTCCCTTGTTCTTTTTAAAGCAAGAAAGAAAATGCAGAAGAAATACCAAATATTTCTCAATATTCCATGGGAAAAAATGTATATATTTAGTACCTTTTCTATCAGTTCTTTTGCTATGTCATTTGTTTGTGTCTCATAAGTTAGAGGACATTCCTCAATCACAAGCCGTGGGCGTCTTTGTCCACTGGGTGCTGCTGAATGCTTCGGGCTGTAACAGAGAATATGTTCATAGTTGGAAGCCAATTGCTGATTTTAAGCTAATATGCTCATGTGAAAATGAGTGAGCAACTCACAGATAAGCTCAAGGTAATCAATTTGTTGTTATTTTAAGCCTAATGGTTGCCTTATACAAAAATACCAGAAAAACACAGCAACTTTTATTAACTTAGATTTTCTTAATTTGACCCTGGCTTGGAAACTCAGTTGGTTAGTGTCAGCCTGATACGCCAAGGTTGCAGGTTCAATCCCCAGTAAAGGCACATACAAGAATCAACCAATGAATGCATAAATAAGTGGAACAACAAATCGATGTTTCTTCTCCCCTAAAATCAATCAATAACAAAACTTCTCAATTTAATACTCTTAACTTCTAGTTTACTATGGAAGAAACATTTCACATCTGTTATTTTAATAAAAGTTATGAGAAATAATTTTAGGTTACCATTTACTTCATTATTGTACAAAAGCAAAAGTAAAAATCTTATTCAAATGCATATAATTACTGTCCTGTGTTTTCCTTTTTTCTTCTTTTCTGGTCTTAACCTCTTACTTATTCTTAGCCTTGTCAGGTCACTACTAATTTTAGTAGTGCTAAAAGAGAAAAAGTAACATCTACATAGTGTACATAAGGTTTATAATTAGGAAATAAAGGTTACTGCTGTGTGACAAAATGGCATGTTTATTTAGGAATACTTGAACTAGTAAACATTTGATGAGGCTGCACACCGTGGTGAAGGCTGAAGCCTGCCTACACCCGCTCAGCCCCGGGTAAGTAGGCAGCTACTCAGTATCACAGTGCCCCTTAAAAGCACACCTAGAACTTAAAAATATTTTTTTCTTCAATTTTTATTTTTCCTTTTATTTCTTATTTCATTTTTTCTTCCCTGCTTAGCCCTTTCATAGTTAAAGTGGTTGATATTAGACCATTACCATAAAGAGAAATCAGTTTTTACCCTGGTCTTTGAGATGGTTTTGATATAGTTGGAGTTGCTTTAAAAAAAAGTAATGTGCTAATCAAAGAAAATTGGTCTTGTTCTTTTCATTCCTTTGTACTGGGCAACAGTATTTGAAATCTATCAGACTCACAAGCTAAGCTGGAAAATGGTTGCAGTATTGTTTGGGAAAGTAGCTACTTTTAAAAGTTTTAAAAAATAAAGGAAAATAGGTGGCTTTTATGTCCTTTTTTTTTTTTTTGGAAGAAGCTGATAAGAGGTCTACCCAATTTTTGAGAACTCGGCATGTAGTCCTTTCTGAAGTAAACATTTTAGGAGGCAGAGGTAATTCACGTCGTTCCTATCAGTAAAACAATATAGGACAGTTCAAAGAAATGCTCAGGGTAAGGGGACTTCCAGGGCCCGGGGAGCTCTGTGAGCCGGCACAGGACGCGTAGCTAACTGCCACTCCCTCCTCTGCTGCAGCTGCTGCGGGAGCTTCCCTTTCCTTCTGCCTTTGCTCACTGACATCCTCACCTAGGACCCCTTTCTGTGCAAGGGGCTCAATCCTTGAGGAAACCTCCCGCCCAATCCGGCTCAACCAAAACCCTTACTTATCCTTTACTTCTATCACTTCGTTCAAGCTTTCTGTTCTTTTAGCCAAAGAAAGCTGCCATTCTCAACAGCTTCTCCGTGCGACTGCTTCCTTGAGCAGCAGGCTTACCTTAATTTCAAGCGCGACAGCACCGCCCTGTATAGGTAACTTGCAGGTAGATGTTTTCTCTGCCGCACAGGTTGTATGACAGGATGAATAGCCCCAACAACATATCCTTTAAGGTAATAATCTTCCACTTTTGTCACTATGTCTGGAATTGAATTTATCTTGATGACTTCTGAATTCGGTGAAGCTGAAATATCAAATGCAGAGAGAAATTTGCACGTTCACACAGTTGAATTATACATTATTTCTATCTATGTGTGATACTACTGAGTGGGAAACATGCCGTATGATATAATCTTCCAATAAAGTTACAATAACATGTATTATATATTTTCTAAATTAATTTAAGAAAAAAGCAACAAATGGAAAAAATAATACGATTTTGTGTGCGTGTGTATATATATACATACATATATATGCATATATATGAAAAAAGCAACAGTAACCTTATGAGCTGATAGATATATATTACCACTATGTCTTAAAGTAAAAAAATACAATGCTTTATACATATATTTTTCAATTAAGGCAGCTTTATTTCCTAGGATTTCATTTGACTATATTTCCATTAATAGATATTGAAGACATACACGAGAAAAACAATATTAAGTTGAAAAGTCAGTTGTTTTTATGATCTGGAATGAGACACATAATTTTTTAAGAATAAACTTTTATAAATCTAAAAATTAAAAATGGAAGAAATAGTATTTGTTAAGCAAAAATTGTAATTTCCAATTACACTTCTAAGCCACTGTGTTTTAAGTTTCTCTAGGAAGCCAAAAATATGATTTCCTATGTCACTTAAGCTTGGGTAAAGGAATTGAAAAGTAAAGGTATGCAGAAGTTCTTTTGAGTAGTAAGAATTCTAAATGTATAGAAAATTTAAATGTAAAATTGATATGCAATTCAACTGTCCCTTTGAAGTAGGAAAACAAATAGTATAAAATAGCACAATCTGGTCCTGGCTGGAGTGGCTCAGTGGATTGAGCACCACCTGAGAACTGGGAGGTCACAGGTTCACTTCCTGGTCAGGGCACATGCCTGGGTTGAGGGCCAGGTCCCCTGCTGGGGGCATGTGTGAGAGGCAACTGACTGGGATCTTGCACACAATTTCTCTCCCTCTCTTTCTCCTTCTCTTCCTCTCTCTCTAAAAATAAGTAAATAAAATCTTTAAAAAATAGTGCAATCTGTACAGTTTTTAGTAAAAGGAAAAGGGTGTATTATTGGGAAAATGATTTTAATGTTCTCGCTGTATTAATTTAGAAAACAACGTTCTATAACAATATTTCTCATTTTCTGGAAAACAATCAAGAATTAATATCTAGAAATAGACCTGCAGTTCAGAAATCTCTTGAGTAGCAAAACAAATGAAATTAGTTCCAGGTACGGGCAGTGCTGGCTCTTGGCTTTCTGCCAGCGTAGTCAGGGGCGGCCAGCAAAGAGCTGCGGCTGTGCCTGAACACAGGAAGGGGGTTCGGAAACAGACACGGAAACAGGGTCAGAGAAAATCTCTTCCTTCTCTTACATTAATATTCATATGATGGAACAGAAATCCTCCATCGGTGGGTATTCATGCCAACTTCTCAAACCCAAGAAAGTTATATAAACCAGGATGACTCCATTTCCTCAAATTTTCATCCCTCTTTGAATTTAAACTAATGTAGTCATAATATATTTTCTTCATCATTTTGAACAAGAATAAAAACAAAGGACAATCCTGGACTTTGAAGAAACAGCTGGGTTTCATTGAAAAATGACCTAGTTCGGCCTGGTGTGTGGCAATCACTCTGTGAGTCATTTGGTTTTCCCATTTTTCAGTATTTTCACTACCAATGCTGATTTCCAAACAAAGGAGCTGAAAAACTATAAAATAGAATAAACTGTTAAGACTAGGACTCAAACATAACCTAAATTTATTTTTTAGAACTATATACTAATCCTACAAAGTTTTAAAGAAAATTGCCGTTTTTAATGAGTCTCATGCCTTATTGTAGAAAGTGGAAAGGCTGTAGCATGATACAAAGGAATCTTCACAGTCTGGGCTCTGCCTGCTTTTCAGCCTTCAATCTTGTTGTCTTTTTTCTTGCACGTCCTGCGTTGCAGGCCTGGACTACTGGCGCACCTGAAGCTGGCGGCTTGTTTCATGGCACCAGCCCTTCATTTCCTTCCCTGCTCCCCAAGCTTGAGTTAATCACCCCTCTGTGCTGTACCCTCATTCTACTACTTCCCTTATCAGGCTGTAGGATAGTTACTTGTTTACATGCTTGTCTCTGCTGTTTGACTGAGAATTCCTTAAGGACAAGGGACCTACCTTATTTCTCTTCTGTGCCTACCATTTTCCTAGGTCATTATGTTAGGTTTGAAATATTAGTCATAAGGAGAACTAAGAAATGAAATTATTGCAAAAAGGAAGGAAAGCCATCAAGGTTACCTAGTGGAAATACACATAAAAAAAGTTAGGTTGCCAAACTCGGGAACAATTGTACAGGGTATCCAGACCTTAAAGAAGAGAGACAAAACAGGGAAAGAGCATGCAAGTGGTGTTATGGAATTATTATTCTTTTGATCATAAGAGTGAAGGTGGTCAAGAACCTAGAGAGAGTCCAGCCAGGCAGAGGTAAAGGCCATACTCACTTCAGAAGTCTCTAGCTTTAAGGACCCCATTTAGGTTCCTCAAGTTAATGACATTACAATTAAAAAAACTCCACATTGCAAATGAGGTAAAAAGTAATGAGAGGTGGAGCTACATAGAGTGTAATTAGCTCCCTCTCAGAGAGAAATCTGGAGAGAGATTTGGGAGAGGGCTGCACCCCACACAATGAATGAGCCCATGGGCTTGGGAGAGCTTCTGGATGCTGCTCACCCTGCTTCTCTTGCTGGCTTGTTTGGATCGCTGTTAGATCCTACACTGTCTCACCTCGCCTACTCTGGCAGCATTGCTTAGGAGGAAACCCAGAAATCAAGAGCTCAGGGCTGGGGAAAGTGGCCTCCCCTGGAGCCCTGGGGGAGAGTTCAGAGCTCTTCAGGCAGCCGTTGCTCTGCCTGCTCTGTATACAGTATACAATGCCTTTAATAGACCAAATAAATGTTAATCGTCTGTTTATGCTACTGGTAAAGCATCTGGTCAACAGTAGGCTATTAGTAGTTAAGTTTTTTGGAAGTCAAAAGTTTTTTCAACTGTGTATGTGTGGGGGTCATCACCTCTAACCCCCATGTTGTCCAAGAGTCAGCTGTATTTGACTATTTCAGTTCTATAATACGACCTTTATCATTAAAGATTATATGTTATCTGGAGATAGTGGTGATGGTTGTACAATCATGTGTATGTATTTACTACCACTGAACTGTATAGTTAAAAATGATTATGATGGTTAAAATAAAATTACTAAGTGGTAAGAAAATAGTAAGTCATAGTTTAATTGGTGCATTGGTAATAAACTGAAATTTATTTAAAAAATAATTGATCTCTCATATAACCATAATAGAATCAACTACCATACAAATAAATACAATGAAAGAAAACACGTATTAGACTCTAGCTAGATACTGTTATATGCCAAAGACTGAGCCGTAATTGTGCTCTTTGTTGAAAAGGAAAATTAACTATTAGAACAATGTTAAAGACATTAACCCTAAACTGATCGGTAGGCTTAAAAAGAATGAATAGGACAAAACTTTCTGTCTATATGATTCAATGTTATTTAAACTCTGTGTCTGTGTGTACAACTTAAAAGCATCTCATGTCCAATGCTAAGCTATTGAGTAAAGGTTTGTAGACCCATTGGATTAGAAGTAGCAGGGACATAATGAGAGTAGCAAAGGGGACAGGTGACACAAGAAGGAATAAAATGAATTATAAACTAGATAAAAGAACTACAAAACTTTACAGTTTGTGGTCATTTAAAGGGCTTTCCACACTTCATTGGCTCAAAGTGATAATAATGAAAGTCATTCCCTCCATTGTATTGTTTCAGAGCATGGTTTCCAAAGGCAGAATTATTTAACACATTAAAAACAATCACCAATGAGATAGCTATAACAGATAACATTGGTGCTTAAAGAAGCCCCTGTTCAGGTAGAGAATGTATTTCTAGGGAACACCGCATTCTCTGGAGACGTCAGAGAAGTGTTGCATCAATGGAACAAATCCAGCTTTTCTGTTTAATCCACGTCCTCTTACACTCTCAATAAAGAAAGGTTATTTCTTGAAACTCAATGTAAAATAAATGTTAATGCACGAAACACACGCGCGCACACACACACACACACACAGAGGTGTGCGCGCGGAGTTTTAGGTGAATTACAAACCGAGAAAGCCAGAAAGGTTACAAAGGGAGAAGAAAATTGTACATCAGTACTGATAAACACATCATAACAAACAAGTAAAGATCATGTTTGTTTTGGGCCCAGTGCTTTATGTTAATTATTGAACTGTCAAAAGTGTGAACATTTTCCTACATGGAAGTCTGTGTCTTTTGATAAACAGCCGTTAGCATGGTCATGACAATTATGGTAAGTGCTTAAGAACTACTTATTGAAAAACTAGCTGAATGAAAAATTGGATGTAGTATTTACATATTCGATTAACCGAGCTACAGGGTGCTCATGGAGCAGGGATTTAGAGAATAGACTCTAGGACTAGACTATCTGGCTCCAAAGCCCAGCTCTGCCACGGGCTAGCCTGGCAAGGTACTTTTGCATCCATGGGCCTCAGTTTCCTCATCTGCAAAGTGAGAATAATAATAGAATCTACCTGAGAGGGTTGTTAGGAAGATTAAGTAAATTAATATTTGTTCTCAGAAAGTACCTGGCATGTAGTGAGTGCTTTGTTAGATAAGGTCCTCCCTTGTTTAGAGAGGAAACACACCATACTCACTAAGAGCATTAAGGCTGTAGAAGCAAATCTCCCGGGTTCGCATACTGGTTATGCCACTTACTAGGCCTGTGATCTGAAACAAGGTCTGCACCTCTCTGAGGCACAGATAAATAACTGTATTAACTTCACAGAGTTGCTCTGATAGCAACTGTAAAACATGAGCCCACTGCCTGACCCAAAGTAAACACTCAGACATCAGAGATGTTCCTGTCTGTTGGTGGCCTAGCTCTGAAACATATCATTTCAAATGATGTTGTCCTCAGAGATAGGTTTATTGCTGGTTTAGAAAATCTCCATGAAGGTCATCGTGG